TAGTAATGATAAAAGTAATATTAAGGGCTAATACAAATAATACTGATGATAACAAGCGGAGGAGGAAGAGGAGGAGAAGGAGGAGGGGGGGGAGGAAGAGCAGGAGGAGAAGGATGAGGAGGGAGAGGTGGAGGAGAAGGAGGTGGAGGAAGAGGACGAGGAGGAGGAGGACGAGGAAGAGGAGGAGCAGGAGGGGGAGGAGGAGGAGGAGGAGGAGGAGGAGGAGGAGGAGGAGGAGGTGGAGGAGGATGAGGGGGAGGAGGAGGAGGAGGAGGGGGAGGGGGAGGATGGGAAGGAGGAGGAAGGAGGAGGAGGAGGAAGAGGAGGACCAGTATAAGAAAAGGGAGGAGGTAGGGAGGGAAGTAGGAAGGCAGTGCAGGCGGGCGGGCGGGCGGATCAGGAGGGGAGGAACTCATGGAGGGTTGGAGGGAGGGCGGGCAGGAGGGATGGCGGGGCGGGAGGGAGGAGGAGGAGAGGGAGGGACAAACTCGGTGCGTTCGCGTCATGTCTGACGTCCTACCCCTCCCTCCCATCCTTTACCATGGCGTAGATCTCCTCTCTATTCGCCCAACCCGATGTCGGAGCATGACATAGCATTACATGGCATAGCATGACGTGTCGAATATCAACGCGTAGCATGACATAACATGGCGTGGCGACGCCCCAAAGTGGGGGGGGGGCTTCTGCGGCCCAAGCAATCAACGAACCGACACCGAATGTGTAATCATTTTCGATGGTTTCTTCGGGGAACCATTTTTAGATTTTGGGGCCTATTTGGAAGGACGGGAAACCATGCCGTGACATGACACCTGACATGATGACGCCAGCGCTGCAGCGGGAACACGATTCGGAACGAGAGGAAGTGCGGAAATGAGGCCAGCGCTGCAGCGGGAGCACGATTCGGATCGAGCGGTAGCCCGAACATGACTCCAACGCTTTAGCGAGAGCAGCATTTTGAAACAAAAACCCAAGCTTAGAAGCGCAGGGCTGAGGACGCGTTGCCTGACATAGCATGGAATGGCGACGCCCCAACGTGGGGGGGGCTTCTTCGGTCCAAACAGCCAACGAACCGGCACCGACTGTGTAATCATTTCCGATGGTTGTTTCGGGCGGCATTTTCCACATTTTGGGGTCTATTTGGAAGAACCGAAAACCATGCCGTGACATGACACTGGAAATTATTGACGCCAGCGCTGCAGCGGGAACGCGATTCGGAACGAGCGGAAGCGCGGAAATGAGGCCAGCGGTGCAGTGGGAGCCAGCGGGAGCACGATTCGGAACGAGCGGTAGCCCGAAATTGAGGCCAGCGCTTCAGCGAGAGCAGCATTTTGAAAAATACTAGCGCGGACGCGCCGAAATGAGGACGCGTAGCCTGACACAGCATGGCGTGGCGATGCCCCAATGTGGCGGGGGGGGGCTTCCGCGGCCCCAGGAATCAACGAATCGACACCGAATGTGTAATCACCTCCGATGGTTTTTGCGGGGGTGCATTTTCTAGATTTTGGGGCCTACGCATTTGGAAGGACGAAGCCATGCCGTGGCATGGCGCTGGAAATAATGACGCCAGCGATGCAGGCGGAACGCGATTCGGATCGAGTTGAAGCGCAGAAATGAGGCCAGCGCTTCAGCGGGAGCACGATCCGGAACGAGCGGCACCCGAGACTGAGGCCAGCGCTTCAGCGAGAGCGGCATGTTGAAAACAAAGCCGAGCGAAGACCCAACTCTGGACAGTGCGCAGAGGAGGGCCGAACGATCCCTGGACGCCACCAGGGGGGAGAGGAGAGTAGTATTCATATGGTGTAATTGTGGACGAGGGAGGAAGAGGGCGTCCAAAACCTCGCCCCCCCCCCCGCCACCCTCAACTCTGCGACTCCCGCCCCAGATCATGGGGGGTGGCCCCCTCCCTGCGGACTCCGCACCCTGCGCTCCCCCGTTCATTTGGCCGACCGGAGGCCAGAGATGTGAATGGCGGGACTGACCCCGACCAGCGACGCCCCTCCTCCTCCCCCTCCTCATCCTTCCCCTCCTCCTCCTCCTCCTTGTCCTCCTCCTCCTCCTCCTCCACCTCCATTTTGTTTCCTTATAATTTCTCCCTGTCGCACCCCGCGGCCTGTTTGTAGGGCGGGCCGGGCGTTTCGCCTGATACTCTCACGATTTATGGCCTTAAAGTTTAAAACGTGGCAGCAGTTTCGCAGATGGAGGGCGGGCCATTTTCAAAATGTGGCTCTCGCCTAGCGCCGCGCGCATTCGTTTGAAACAGTTGCAAGGGTTTGAAGGATTGAGGGCGGGTGGTTTTCAACATGTGGTTCTCGCTTTAGCGCCGCACGCATTTGTTCTGAAACTTTGCAAGGGTTTCACGGATTGAACACGGGTGGTTTTCAGACTGTGGCTTTCGCCTTAGCGCCGCGTGCATTCGTTTTAACAAGTTCAGGACGATTTATCACGTGGCAGAGTTTTGGAGGGCGGGCCATTTTCAAAATGTGGGCTAATTCGTTTTTGCAAGGATTGTGGCTCTCGCTTTAGCGCCGCACGCATTTGTTCTGAAACTTTGCAAGGGTTTCACGGATTGAACACTCACCCCCGGCGCGAAGAGGCGAGTCCTTAGCGCCTCCGGCACCGTTTCCGGACGGATCCGGACGGATCCGCTGGATCCGGGGACGAATCCCAAACCGGCGCCCTCGCCTGAGACATCCCCGCAAAACCGGCCCCGGGGGAGGTGCCCAGAGGAGCCCAGAGCGGCCTCTGGCACCGTTTCCGGACGGATCCGATGGATCCGCTGGATCCGGGGACGAATCCCAAACCGGCGCCCTCGCCTGAGACATCCCCGCAAAACCGGCCCCGGGGGAGGTGCCCAGAGAAGCCAGAGCGGCCTCCGGCACCGTTTCCGGACCAGATCCGGACGGATCCGCTGGATCCGCTGGATCCGGTGACGAATCCCAAACCGGCGCCCTCGCTTGAGACATCCTCACAAAACCGGAAACCGGCCCCGGGGGAGGTGCCCAGAGGAGCACAGAGCGGCCTCCGGCACCGTTTCCGGACGGATCCGCTGGATCCGCTGGATCCGGTGACGAATCCCAAACCGGCGCCCTCGCTTGAGACATCCTCACAAAACGGGCCCCGGGGGAGGTGCCCAGAGGAGCCCAGAGCGGCCTCCGGCACGTTTCCGGACCCAGAGCGGCCTCCGGCACCGTTTCCGGACGGATCCGCTGGATCCGCTGGATCCGCTGGATCCGGTGACGAATCCCAAACCGGAGCCCTCGCCTGAGACATCCTCACAAAACGGGCCCCGGGGGGGATGCCCAGAGGAGCCCAGAGCGGCCTCCGGCACCGTTT